TGTTGAGCTTCAAATGATGAGGCTGGCTTGTATTTAGGGGCCATGTTAGGTGGTAATGCACATCTTTAAAACCAGACTCTTATTCAGCATGGCGAGATGCTTACAGTATTAGAGGCACTCTGAAACTTAGATTAAAAGAAAGAATAGCAGATTCATCTTCTATTTGGGGGATTAGGCTGACTCAGTTGTTGTTAAAACTTTAGCTGTACATTGGAATCACAGATTACTGGGTTCTCTCCACAGTTTCTGACTCAGTAGGTCGGATTTGGCCAGAGCATTTGCATTTTTTAACAGATTCCCAGGTGATCTGATTCTGGTTTCTGGGGACCTCTTATGTAGGACTGCTGTATCAACTGAATGGAGGCAAGTGGAACCACTTGTCTATCTTCCCTCCGCTGTCTATTTCTCTTGCTCTCTTATCTTTAGGCGAATGGGTATAGTTGAATTCATTTAAAATTAAATGTAGGTGTTGTGGGTCAGCCAACACTTTATCCCATTGCTTAGCTTACTTCTTGGCCCAGAATAAGAACTTGACAATTCAATAGATGCTTGTTGAATGAGTGATTGATTATATATGTTGAATTAACATATAAAATGGAGGAGATTTTTAGCACGTGGACATCATTATTATATACCTGTTCTATACAGACTATTTTTTATACTGAGGTAGGTAGTCTTTAGATTAGAATAGCTTATATTTTAGGACTATATCGATGATCATGGACATCAGGAAGTATGCAATTAGTGCAGTTTTGAGAAACTTGCATTATGGGACCTCTGAAATAATGTGAAGTGTGTGGATGGAACTGCGTGTGAAGAATCCCATCTGTTTTAGAATGGCCTAGAGAAGTCTTGCAGAACCTGGTTTTGGTCTGAACCAGACAGTTTAATATCTGGAGCAGCATTGGGTTACTGGATCTGCCCTAGACCAGATTCAACATTTTCATTTTACTTCTGTCTCTCCAGAGTACTGGGGAGATTCAGCCTCATGATCCTAAAGGTTCAGTGGGGCTCTGTACTATGGTATAACACTGTAAATTCAGATAGTTGTTCTTGAATGTTACCATGTTGTAGGATTTGATTATTATATTATATTATATTATATTATATTATATTATATTATATTATATTTTTTAAACATTAAAAACATTTATTTATTTATTCATAAGAGGCACAGAGAGAGAGAGGCAGAGACACAGGCAGAAGGAGAAGCAGGCTCCATGCAGGGAGCCCGAAGTAGGACTCGATCCTGGGTCTCCAGGATCACACCCTAGACTCAAGGCGGCGCTAAACCACTGAGCCACCGGGGCTGCCCCATAATTATATTTTAAATGGTGAGTTTATTGGGATGCCTGGGTAGCTCAGTGGTTGACTGCCTTCAGCTCAGGGCATGATCCTGAGGTCCTGGGATTGAGTCCTGCATCAGGATCCCTGCAAGGAGCCTGCTTCTACCTCTGCCTTTGTCTCTGCCTCCATCTCTGTGCCTCTCATGAATGAATAAATAAAATCTTAAAAAAAAATGGTGAATTTATTAAGAGAAGGGTAAAAAAGAAATCTCAAAAATTTAAGGTTCTTTTGTTTTAAGCTTATAAAATTATTGTGTCGTTTTTATCATTTGGACGTGTTTTATATTGTCTTGCAAAGTCTCCATATCCTGTATTTTGTCTCTTTCAGTATAGATTGAATTTTCTTCCTTTAAATTCATCTTACTTCAGGGATCCCTGGGTGGCGCAGCGGTTTGGCGCCTGCCTTTGGCCCAGGGCGCCATCCTGGAGACCCGGGATCGAATCCCACGTCGGGTTCCCGGTGCATGGAGCCTGCTTCTCCCTCTGCCTGTGTCTCTGCCTCTCTCGCTCTCTCTGTATGACTATCGTAAATAAATAAAAAAAAAAATTAAAAAGAGCTGCTCAATTCTTTTAAAAAAAATTAAATTAATCTTACTTCAAAAAAAAATTCACTTATTTTTTTATGCTGAAATATTTTCAAGTAAATTGCAGACAGTAGGGTATTTCTAAATCCTTCAATATACAGCTATAAAATAGAAAAATATTTCCTTATGCAGCCACTATATGATCACACCTAACAGAATTAACAAGTCATTAGTATCATCTAATACTTAGTCCATATTCAAATTAACCTAATTGTCTCTAAATTATCAGTTGTATCATTTGTGCAAACCAGGATACAGCCTGGACTCATGCATTCCATCTGGTTATTTTGTTCCTTAAAGTTTATGTATTTATCATGACATTGCCTTACCATTGTCTTATCACACATTTGGATTTGTCTGCCTATGCAAAGTGTCTTTAGCTTGTTCTTCTACCCTGTGCATTTCCTGGAAACAGGAAATTAGATGTAAAAGAAATTAGATCTGAAGGCTGGAAAAAGATACAGGTTGAACAATTTTGACATGATTTTATCATAGGTGAAATTTACTTTGTGTTAAACCACATGAGGAGGTGCATAATCCATGCCTGCCCCACTGTCAGTGATACTAATTTTTATCACTAGATTCAGGTGATGACAGCTTGATCCTTCCATTGTAAAATTACATTTTGCTCTTTTAACAAGAGAGTACTCTCTATGGTATTACTTTTGGTCCTCATTTTCCTGTCATTCATTCTTCTAATGCTTTTAACATCATGTGGTAATTCTTGCCCAAATCACTAATTTCATAAGGGCTTGCAAAACCATCATTTGTCTAGTTCTGTCATTCCTTCCGCTTTAGCTGACGTTTAATTAAACAGAGCTCTTTTTCATTAACTGGGACTCTTTGGTACCTTGAAACACAATTCTATTGGAAGGGCAGGTTAAATATTATTTACTTTTGTATTCCCAAGTTAGGAGTTGGTTTAATAGACACCTTAAATAGTGGCAAATGACAATACATTTTGCTTTTGCTTTTTTGATATCCTTCTGAACTAGTAGATTTTTGTGAAATGAGTGTTCCAATCAGCTACTACAGTCATTATTCTTTTTGTTTGTTTTTTAAAGATTATTTATTTATTTATTTATTTATTCATTCATTCATTCATGAGAGACACAGAGAGAGTGACAGATACATAGGCAGAGAGAGAAGCAGGCTCCTTGCAGGGATCCTGATGTGGGACTCAATCCCAGGACCCTGGGACCACGACCCGAGCCAAAGGTAGACGCTCAACCACTGAGATACCCATGTGCCCCGTCACTGTTCTTTTTATGTTCAATTTGTTTTATGTTCAGTTTATTAAATCGAGCCAATGATAGTCCTTTATAGTTGACTCCTATGTCCTTTAGACATAACTCCGTTAATTTTTGAGCACTTCCTTGCTTTCTTGCACAGCAAGATGGTGTCATCACCCGAATCTAGTGATAAAAATTAGCTTTGTGATTATTTTTGTAACATAGGTTGATTGTAGTTTCTTTGTCCTCAAATGCCAGTGAGCCACTTCACTGACAAGCCCTAGTTCCTTGTGGGGGATGAGTTAAACACCAAAATCCTGGTCCTTGAAATGTCAATTGTTAATGGGATGACAGTGTTCATAGACCTTTTCAGTGTTGTTTTTTTTTTAATTTAACTCTGTTTAAATTCAATTAATTAAAAAAAATAAATTCAATTAATTAACATATAGTGTATTGTTTCAGAGATAGAGTTCAGTGGCTCATCAGTTGTATATAACACTAAGTGCTCATAACATCATGTGCCCTCCTTAATGCCCGTCACCCAGTTACCCCAGCCCCCCACACCCTTCCCCTCCAGCAACCCTCAACTTGTTTCCTTTTAAGAATCTCTTATGGTTTGTCTCCCTCTCTGATTTTGTCTTATTTTATTTTTCCCTCCCTTCCCCTATGATCCTCTGTTTTGTTTCTTAGAGTGTTGTTGTTGTTTTAGGATTTTATTTATTTGAGAGAGAGAGAACAGGAGTGAGGGGGTAGCAGAGGCAGAGGGAGAAGTGGACTTCTTGCTGAGCAGAGAGCCCAATGCTGTATCCTGGGACCCTGAGATCATGACCTGAGCCAGAGGCAGATGCTTAACCAACTGAGAAACCTGGGTGCCCCTTCAGTAGTCTTTTTAGTCCTTGAATTTTGATATTGAAAGTTTGGATAATGAAAATTCAGATTGTGAGGGATATCTGTATTTTAAAAAAAGATTTTATTTATTTATTTATTTATTTATTTATTTATTTATTTATTTGAGAGAGAGAGAGAGAGCATACACAAGCAGGGAGGGGTAGGGACAGAAGGAAAGGGATAAGCAGATTCCCCACTGACCAGGGAGCCCAGTGTAAGGCCAGGACCCTGGGATCATGACCTGAGCTTAAGGCAGATGCTCAACCAACTGAGCCACCCAGGACCCCCAGGGATATATGTATTTTTAAAGTTAATGGATTCATATCTCTGTTTCCAATTCGGTTTTAACATTACTGTGTTTTTAAGTAACTCCTTGATTTTATAATTGTTATCTTTTCTCTTATGCTGAAAATCTTGAGTACTGATAAGTTTTTTATTGTTGTTCTGTAATGATTTTATTTATTTGAGAGAGAGAGAGCATGCATAAGTGGGGGGAGGGGCAGAAGGAGCCGGAGAAGCAGACTCCCCACAGAGCAGGAGCCCAACATGGGGCTGAATCCCAGGACTCTGAGATCATGACCTGAGCAGAAGGCAGGCACTTAACCAACTGAGATGCCCAGGTGCCCCTGTTTTTGTTTTTTTGTTTCTAAGCAGATTTCACACCCAATGTGGGACTTGAACTCATGACCCTGAGATCAAGAGTTGCATGTTCTACAGACTGAGCCAGCCAGGTTCCCCTAGCACTATTTTTATCTTACAATATAAAGAAAGTAATTTAAAAATAAAGTGCCAATATTACTACTGCAGCTAAAATCAATAAAGTTTAAAAAGTTTTGTGATTATTTTTGTAACATAGGTTGATTTTAATGGAAAAATAAACTTAATTACTTTTTTGTTGATCTCATTTAATTACTTTCCTCTGAAATTGGTCTGTTTTGTTTTTGTCATAGGTTGATCATTTTGGATTTGCTGTTGATAAAACTTTTAAACAGCGGTACCTAATTGCTGATGAACACTGGAAGAAAGATGGTGGGTCAATACTTTTCTACACTGGTAATGAAGGGGACATTATCTGGTTTTGCAATAATACGGTATGTGCAAATTCCAATGCTCAATTTGCCTTTTATTATGGCAACCTGGAAAAAAATGTTTTGCAGTATATATGACCAAATATTACTATAATTAATTGTGAAGCTCTTTAAAAAATAACAGATAAAACTCAGTAATAATAGGAAAATGGCAGAAGTATATCAATGGGAAGATCACAAAAGAATGAATCCAGATATCCAGTAAGCCTGTGTGTTTTGCCTCAAAGAATTATACATGAAAAGAATGAAATATTATTTTTGGATAATTGAGTCTTAGATTTTTTTTTTAATCCCAGCTTATTTCTAGAGTGAATAAGGATATGAGGGACATGGGAATAAGAATGTTATTGCATATAGATATTTTTGGTTTATTTGTTTTGATTATGATCTCTACAATACACAGGGCATGAATTTCTGGTCAGTGTTGTATATTCAGTCTAAAACTATGCTAGGCATATAGTCGGTGCTCAATATGTATCTGTTAAATGAATAACTGAATGAAACCTGAACAAAGCCAGAGCAAATAAAAAAAACAAAACCCAGCAAGTTTGATTATTAAGTAGGAATGAAGAGAGGTAAAGTTGTAGCTATATTTTAATTTAATTTTCCTAAGTTCTATTTTTCTTATATTTGTGAGGGTTAAAAAACAGTGTAGATGTTAGCTTGCTTCCTTGATTATACATTCTATCATCTTTTGTGATAACACTTAAACATATTAACATTTAATTTAGAAGGACACTTGCAAGGAAGAAATTTTCCTATTTTATGTTCCAAAGCTATGATTAGAAAATACCAACTTTCTACTAAAAAGCTAGTCTGCGAATTACCTTAAAGTGAAGACTGAATCATATTTTCTCTACTGCCAGTGTTTGGCATGGTGCCTGGTATTCAGGAGGTCTCAGTAAATGTTTGTTGAAAGCAAAGGTATGAATCCAATTATGCTGTACTGCATTTCCCATTTCTGATTATTTGCTTAGGAATGTTGAGTTTAAATATATTAGTTGAAAATAAAATAATTCCCTGAGAAATGAGATCCTAGGATGTCTGTTTCTCTTAGATTAGTGACAAATGAAGTTAGGGTTTATTTTCCATCAGATTCCTGCTTACTTTTTCTATGAAACAACTGAGACTGCTTTAGCTTTTTTTTTACTTTCTCTTGTGTGACTTCCCATTTATGCCAAGGCCATGGGGCAGCTTCTCCTATCCAGTTCAGTTATCCAGTTATTTTTCCAACTCCTCCTCCTCTTCTTTTCTTTTCCTTTCCTCTTCTTTTCCTTTCCTTTCCTCTTCTTTTCCTTTCCTTTCCTTTCCTTTCCTTTCCTTTCCTTTCCTTTCCTTTCCTCTTCTTTTCCTTTCCTCTTCTTTTCCTTTCCTTTCCTTTCCTTTCCTTTCCTTTCCTTTCCTTTCCTTTCCTTTCCTTTTTCTTTCTTTCTTTCTTTCTTTCTTTCTTTCTTTCTTTCTTTCTTTCTTTCTTTCTTTCTTTCGATAGAGAGTGGGAGGGGAGAAGCAAAGGGAGTGGAGAGAGAATCTTAAGCAGGCTCCACATTCAGTGTGGAGCCTAACATAGAGCTTGATTTCACAACCCTGAGATCATGACCTCAGCCTAAATCAAGAGTTGGACGTTCTAAAAAAAAAAAAAAAAGAAAGAAAAAAAGTTGGACATTTAACTAACTGAGCCACCCAGGTTTTCCCCCTCCTTTTCTTCTTTACTATAGATAGGCAGTTGTTCCTGCCTCCACTGCTCTGACAGACACTGAAATTTAAGGCTTGCCTCAAAAGTGGTAGAGAGGAAAAGCTGTACAGTGTAGGTACCAGTTCCAGGGAAGTGGCTAGAGGTAGATCCTTAGAAAGATCCTGGCTTTTTCCCAGCCCTAGACACCTCCTTAGGAGTATGTACTAAAATGTCCTGGTTTCATTTTCACATATTCTGGACCTTCATCTATTAAGAGACAGTATAGCAGAATGGTCAAGAGCAATAGACTGATAAGTACTGATAAGGATTGAATTCCGCTTTTGCTGTTATGCTGTATGACTTTGGGCGGTTTCTAATTTTGTACCTCAGTTTTCTTATCTGCTAAATGGATGTATTAATAATAATCTGGTTCATAGAGTTGTTATAAGGACTAAATAAGAATTAGGAACTTAGGTCAATGCAATAATATTATTAAATGTTAATATATTACACCTCTTCTGAAAAACACAAACACCCTGAAATAGATGCAGGCAAATAATCACTTATTATAATGTAAATCAGTTTTATTAAATTGCTTCCTTTCAAAACCTGAGGTCAGCTCCCCAGAGGTCTGGCTATTTTCATAGGTGTTCCTTACCTTTAAGAAGTTCATAGTCTGGTAGGGTAAGACACACATGTAAGCAAATACTACAACACAGTAGTAGAGATCTGTGCCTAGCACAGTGCTGTTGAAAGGCAGGAGTGATCAGCAGTGCCAAAATGGCAGGCAGAGGAGGGCATGCTTAAGCTGGCTGTTATAGGATCTGCACATAAACAGCAGGGAATGGGCAAGGTGTTAAGAGAGAAAGTGAGGGTTAGTGAAACCATCACAGATAACAGGTAAATTCTCCATCATTACATGCATACAGCTCTTTTAATTGTTCATTTACAGATCAAAATGAGCAAAACCTTTTAGAAGTTCTTAGTTGTTAGGGAACAGCAGTTCATTAAAAAACAAGTGTGCCCTAGGAATGACAAATAGTTTTAATCTGTGCTAAATCTAAATTTAATCGATTGATGTTGACTGCCTAGAGTGCTTTGTCCAGAAGGATTCTGAGGGCATCACTTGAGGTAAGTGAAAAAAATGCAGTGACTGATTAATGATCAGCATTAAGTGTGGACATAAGGAGATCGAACAGCACTTGATAATTCCTGTGAAGCCAGACAGCCAGTGCTCGGATCTTGGCTCTACAACTTTCTAGCTGTGTGATTGTCACAGGATATTTAAACTACTCTGCCTCGGTGTCCTTGTCTCTAAAAGGGGGATAATAAAACTGCCTATCTCCTAGATTGTTGGCATAATTAAATGAATTAATATATATGAAGTATTTAGAACAGTGCCTGACACATTGCAAATACTCTCTTATTAGCTGTTGTTAGCTACTATGTATTTTCAAGTAAATAAGATTAATATAAAACCCAGTGGAGTCCAGTATGCTTATTTATATTGTTGTGTTTTTTTTTTCTTTTATGTTGTAAATGTTTACAAGTAGGAAGCTAACTTAAATATCCTCAGTTCTGGGCAGCCCTGGTGGCCTAGTGGTGTAGTGCCGCCTTCAGCCCGGGGTGTGATCCTGGAGACCCGGGATCAAGTCCCATGTCAGACTCCCTACAGGGAGCCTGCTTCTCCTTCTGCCTGTGTCTCTGCCTCTCTTTCTCTCTCTGTCTGTCATGAATAAATGAATAAAATCTTAAAAAAAATATCCTCAGTTTTTTCCTAGCTGTTTGGTACACAGTGCAATTTGAAGACTATTTTCAACATAATATTGATTCCACAGGTAGAGTATTAGAATAAGGAGAGTTGGAATGACTGGTATTTGAGTGACTTGGGCTTATTTTTAATTGTTTCACTCTAATATAGTGTGAGATTGATGTGTATTTATCTGTAGAACAAATATAAATTGTGCAGCTTCTCAGAACTCTTTTGGTTTGGTTTAACGTTCATTTTATATGAGTTGCCAAAAGGTTCAATGACTTTTTTCACATCCTAATTTTTATCCTATGGATCTGTAAATGTTTCCTAGGGGTTCATGTGGGATGTGGCTGAGGAACTGAAGGCTATGTTGGTGTTTGCAGAACATCGATACTATGGAGAGTCCCTACCTTTTGGTAACAATTCATTCAAGGTGAGTACAGGCATACCTTGTTTTATTGCACTTCACTGTACATCACAGATCATGTTTATTTGCAAACTGAAGGTTTGTAGCAACTCTGTGTTGAGCAAGTCAATCAGTGCCATTTTTCTAGCAGTATTTGCTTCCTTTGTGTCTCTGTCATTTTGTTAATACCTGTAATATGTTAAAATTTTTCATTATTATTGTATCCATTATGGTGATTTGTGATCGGTCATCTCTTAGATGCTCACATAAGATGGCAAAGTTAATTGATAAGTAATGTATATGTTTTGACTGCTCCACCGACCAGCTATTCCCTCATCTCTTTCCCTTTCCTCAGGCCTCCTTATTCCCTGAGACACAAAAATATTGAAATTAGGCCAATTAATAATCCTACAATGGCCTTTAAGTGTTCCAATGAAAAGAAGAGTTGCACATCTCTCACTTTAAATAGTAAGCTAGAAATGATTAAGCTTAGTGAAGAAGGCATGTTGAAAGCTAAGAGAGGCCAAAAGCAAGGCCTCTTGTGCCAGTCATTCAGCCAGGTTGTGAATGCAAAGGAAGACTTCTTGAAAGAAAATAAAGGTGCTACTCCAGTGAATATACAAATGACAAGAAAGTGAGACAGCATTATTGTTAATATTGGAGAAAGTTTGAATAGTCTGGATAGAAGATCAAATTAGCCACAATTTCCACAATTAGATCAATTTCCCTCAAGCCAAAGCCTAATCCAGAGCAAAGCCCTAACTCTCTTCAATTTGATGAAGGCTGAGGGAAGTGAGAAAGCTGCAGAAGAAAAGTCTAAAGCTAGCAGAGGCTGATTAATGAGGTTTAAGGAAAGAAGCCATCTCCATAACATAAAAGTGCAAGGTGAAGCAGTTAAATGCTGATGTAGAAGCTGCAGCAAGTTATCTAGAAGATCTGAGATAATTCATGAAGGTGGTTACACTAAACAATAGATTTTCAATATAGACAAAACAGCTTTTTGTTAAAAGGGGATGCCATCTAGGATTTTTATTGCTAGAGAGGAGAAGTCAATGCCTGGCTTCAAATCTTCAAAAGGATGGCCTGATTTTCTTGTTAGGGGTTAATGTAGCTAGTAACTTTAATTTGAAGCCAATGCATGTTTACCATCCCGAATATCCTAGAGCCTTATAGAATTTTACTTACAAAGTAGACTTTGTGCTATATAAATGGAAGAACAAAGCGTGGACGACTACACATCTGTTTACAACATGGTTTACTGAATATTTTAAGCCCACTGTTGAGACCTACTGCTCAAGAAAGAAGTTCTTTGAAAATATTATTGCTCATTGACAATACACGTGGTCACCTATGAGCTCTGATGGAGATGTACAATAAGATGAATGTTGTTTTCATGTCTGCTAATACAGCATCCATTCTGCAGCCAATGGATTAAGGAGTCATTTTGACTTTCAAATCTTATTTAAGAAATACATTTTGTAAGGGCTATTTTGCCATGTCCTCTGATCTGGGCAAAGTCAATTGAAAAACTTTTAGAAAAGGGATCCCTGGGTGGTGCAGAGATTTGGCGCCTGCCTTTGGCCCAGGGCGTGATCCTGGAGACCCGGGATCGAATCCCACGTCAGGCTCCCGGTGCATGGAGCCTGCTTCTCCCTCTGCCTGTGTCTCTGCCTCTCTCTCTGTGTGACTATCATAAATAAATAAAAATTAAAAAAAAAAAAAAGAAAGAAAAACTTCTAGAAAGGATTCAATCCTAGATACTGTGAAGAACATTCAGGATTCATGGGAAGGATTCAAAATATCAAAATTAACAGGAATTTGGAAGAAGTAGATTCAAATCCTTGTGGATGCTGAGGGGTTAAAGACTTCAGTGGAGGATATAACAACATGGGACGCCTGGGTGGCTCAGCAGTTGAGTGAGTGTCTGCCTTTGCCTCCAGAATTCTGGGATCAAGTTCCACATCGGGCTCCTGCATGGAAGCCTGCTTCTCCTCCCTCTGCCTTTGTCTCTGCCTCTCTCTGTGTCTCTCATGAATAAATAAATAAAATCTTTAAAAAAATGGATATAACAACAGATGTGATGGAAGCAGCAAGAGAACTAGAATTACAAGTGGAGCCTGAAGATGTGACTGAATAGCTCCAATGTCATGATAAAACTTGAATGGATGAAGAGTTGCTTCTCATGGATAAGCAAAAAAAGTGGTTTCTGGAGATGGAATCTACTGCTAGTGAAGATTCTGTGAAGATTGTTGAAATGACAACAATGAATGTAGAAAATTATATAAACTTAGTTGGTAAAACAGTTATAGGCTTTGAGAGGATTGATCAATTTTGAAAGAAATTCTGTGGGTAACGTGCTGTTGAACAGCATCACATGCTAAGAGAAAGCATATTCATGAAAGGAAGAATCATCAATGTGGCAGGCTTCATTGTTGTTTTATTTTTAAGACATTGCCACAACTACCCTAGGCTTCAGCAACCACCACCCTGACCAGTCAGCGGGCATCAACATTTAGGCAGGATCCTCTACTGGTAAAAAGATAAAAGCTCAGAAAACTTACTGAAGGCTCAAATGATGGTTAGCATTTTTTATCAGTAAAGTGCTTTTAAATTAAGGTATGTACATCTTTTTAGAAATAATACTAACGCACACTTAATAGACTACAGTATAGTGTAAACATAACTTTTATGTACACTAGGAAACCAAAATAGTCGTTGGACTCGCTTTATTGCGATATTCACTTTATTGCAGTGGTCTGGAAGTGAACCTGCAATATCTCTGAGGTATGCCTGTATACTTTTTATTTTTAAGTTTAAAAGTTTTTTGGGTTTTATTTTTTTTTGAAGTTTAGGATACTACATGTTCTAATAACATGTCCCACTCTAAGAAAGAAATGATAGCTTTAACTTGAACAGCTTGAAATTTCAAACATTTGTATTTAATCTTTTCTTTTTATATGCAATCAAATAGATTAAGCCTTTCTTAAACCATAATATTATCATTTCTAATGTTAATCAGTCTTTTAACTCCGTGTGATGAGGCTGGCCTTCACCGGCATTAAGGAATGGCTGCAGTGACTATGGAGGGAACTTCTCATTGTTTCAAAAATGTCAGTAAATAATTCTGCTTTATAAGTTATACACTTAAATTACTGGGTCTACCACAGAGAAAAATATAATGAGTACTCAAATATTTAATAAGGTATTTTTCAGTATAGTAAGAATAAATTATCCCTGTATTGGGAGTCCAACCGGCCACTTAGATTCCCTTGTGGCCTTTCCTGAGCTCACAAGGAGCTTTGGCCTTGACCATAGATTCTACACCTAGTGAAAAGGGTACTTTTTCCTTAACTAAGTCACTCATGTACTACCTTTGTGATTCTGGGTATATGAATTTGCCATCTGCACTATTACCTACATAATATTTTTCTCTAAACAACTAACTTTTCAAACTTTGTATTACCTTAACCAAGGGCTTTATGGACTAGGTATGGTTTTTTCTAAATTACATTAAAACAAGTATTAAATTTAAAAAGATTGTGTATTATCTAAGATCAGCTATCCTTTTGGGGAACTCTGAGTCAAAAGAACTTGGGGACAGTAATTTTCTAGGCTGCCTATTTTGAAAGGAGTTTTAATTTTTGTTCTCAAAGGCTTTATTAGCTCATGTTATAAATAAATAAAATAAATAAAAAGTCCTTGTGTTGTAAATGAAAAGCAGAACAATTTGGTGATATGTGTGCCACATGGTGATACTGCATGGGAAACTCAATTCTTTAGTTTATTAATCTGCATAATTATCTGATTAGAGGAGTTGATGAGTTCTGAAACCATTGGGAAGTAGCTTATTGCAGGCAAAAACGTAATATCCTCTCCTAGATCCCTTTGATTCATACTTTGTTAGCAAAATGGAGCTAAGGGTTCTCTTTGATATCCTTCTTTTTCTTCATGTGCTCACAGATTTTGTCAGTAGCTTAGGAGATAATATTACAAATATGTGAGGATTAGAAAAAAATCACACTCAACCATATATGGTGCCATGAAAGCTGGCAGTAAAAGATTAGTGACAGACAGACAATGAGAAAGGAGGTAAGAGGTCAGAAAATCTGCATCTTGGATAAGGAGTAAGGTTAAAGGAGTAGGTGACATACATAGGAAAGAGGAAAGATGAGAACTGTGATTTTTGAATGTGCCAAATGATGGACAAAGTCAAACAGTGGTGAGACCAAAGCATGAAGATCAAATAGGGTAGCCTAATAGGTATATAGCTGGACTATTTACCTATTGCTATGTAACAATTTACCTCAAACCTCAGTGACTTAAAACAGCAATTGACATTTATTGTCTCATAGTTCCTATGGGTAAGGAATTAAGAGTGGCTCAGCTAGGAGGTTCTTTTTCAAGGGGTCTCATGAGGTTGAGATGTCAGCTGGTGCTAATAGTTATCTGAAGGCCTGACTGCTGCCAGAGAACCCTCTCCACTATAAGGAGAATCCACATGAGTGACAAAATGTTGCAGGGTGTTAGCAAGAGGCTGCAGTTTGTCTCTTCCTAGGTTTCTCCAAAGCCTTACTTGAGTGGCCTCATGACAAAGTAGCTGGCTTTCCTCAAAATTAGTAATCCAACAGAGCAAGGTGGAAACTGCTTGTGATTATTATGACTTAACATTGGAAGCCACATATCACTTCTGACACATTTTGTTGGTTAGAACCAAGTTACTAAGTCCAGTCCAAGTTCAAAGAGAGAAGACTTAGACTTTTAAAGGAAATACTTATTTAGCCTCCTCAGCTTAGCAGGATTCTGAGTTCTACCTCTCTATGTTGAAGTGAAGCAATTATCTCTAGGCAGGGAGTTAGATGATCATGGAACTTTATGAGTATCCTTCTCTCAGGAATCAATGTTTTACATTGCATGTTTTCTAATGCTTGAATATAGTTGCTATATTGGTTTTTGTTTTTAACTCCAATTTTATAGTTGTTTACAACAGGGTAATTTCCAGTTGTTGGTATATCAGACATGATAATTATCTTTCTGATGAGGGAGAATGAGTTTTATTTTGATTGATGATTCTTTAATTTTTCACAGGATTCAATATACCTTTGTCTGTATGGTAGCCATACAGACATATTTTATTTATTTGAGAGAGAGAGAGAATGAGTGAAAGGGAGGAGCAGAGGCAGAGGGAGAAGCAGACTGCAGGCTGAGCTGGGAGCCTGACACAGGGCCTTGATCCTGGGACTCTGGAATCATGACCTGAGGCAAAGGTGGATGCTTAACTGACTGAGCCACCCAGGCGCCCCTAAATGTTTCAGGTTTTTTTTAACTTTTATTTACTTTTTTGTAAAGATTTTATTTATTTATTCATGAGAATAAGGAGGGAGAGGCAGAGTCATAGGCAGAGGGAGAAGCAGGCTTCCCTGAAAGGAGCCTGATGCAGGACTTGATCACAGGATCCTGGAATCATACCCTGAGCTGAAGGCAGATGCTCAACCACTGAGCCACCCAGGTGCCCTGTTTCAAGTTTTATTAAAATAAAAAATATAATACAGCAATTGTCTGTTAAGCTGAGAGTTATATTCCATCACATTTGCTATTTTAAATGTTACAGTTTGTTTCTGTTGTTTCTACCTCAACAAGATCTTTGGTAAATAGCATTTTAATAAAAATTACATTGTTCGTCCCACAAATGTAAAATCATTTTTTTTAATGATTTGTTTAAATCAGCTTTGCTATTGTGTTGACTGGGTATTTTAACTCAATTGCCTAGATATTCTATTTGGAGAAAAGCTTATCTGACTGGCTTTTTTCCTGGATCTATGCTATGCCTGAGCTGCTATTATGTGTACATTTATACGTGTTCTTTGTTACTTTTCTTTAGGATTCCAGACACTTGAATTATCTGACATCAGAACAAGCTCTGGCTGATTTTGCAATGTTAATCAAACACTTGAAAAGAACAATCCCAGGAGCTAAAAATCAACCTGTCATTGCCATAGGGGGCTCTTACGGTGGCATGCTTGCAGCCTGGTTCAGGATGAAATATCCTCATATGGTGGTTGGGTAAATGCATTTATGTTGGACATGAGCACTTCTTAATGATTGTCAAGGCATACTTAGAAATTTTGGGGGGTAAAACATGTTCTGTTTACTGATATTTCTACTTTCTATCTCATTAACAACTTATTTCTCTCACCATTTTTGTTCAATATCAGTTTTGATTTTAAAACTTGAATTCAGTGAGTTACATTTTTTTTCTTTTCTCCTTTCTTATTTTTCTCACCATTTAGAGCTCTTGCAGCCTCTGCCCCCATCTGGCAATTTGGTAATCTGGTATCTTGTGGTGTATTTATGGAGATTGTAACTACAGATTTTAAGAAAAGTGGCCCAAATTGTTCAGAAAGCATCCGTAGGTCCTGGGATGCTATTAATCGATATTCAAGAACAGGTAAGCTTCAATTAATAGAATAGATATCATGGAGTTATTTACTTGTCACTTGTTAATTTCAACACTTCTCAGTTGTTGTTTTTTTTTAATTTAAGTAGAACATACAGAAAAGTACACAAATAAAATACATCACTTGATGAAATTTCACAAGGGAAAATATAATCAGTATGGTATAATAGTATAATCATCATCTGGTATAATCAGGAACATTTATGTTTTGTGTCTGCTGTCTTTTGCTCAACATTATGTCATACATCCATTTGTTGTATTTAGTTGTGGTTTACACATTCTGAATGCTCTCTAATGTTCCATTTTATTTATTTACTTATTTAAATAGTACCTTTGAAACGGAATAATTCATATAAATAATATCTTTGAAACGGAATAATTCATATAAATTCTGGCAAACTCCATCAGAATAGACAACTTGTTTATCATAAGATTATGTAGGTGCTCTAAAAATATTTTATTAAATGTTGAAAAAACATTCTTGGAGAGATGATATAGAAGATTGAATTTTTTAAAATACCAAATAAAACTTCCTGTCAGGGACTGCTTTTTAGATTCCAACAATGTGATTCTATTCTCAGGTGCTGGCTTGGGTTGGCTTTCTGAAGCCCTTCACTTATGTACCCCACTAACAAATACTCAGGATGTCCAGCATTTGAAAGTTTGGATCTCTGAAACCTGGATAAATCTGGCAATGGTGGACTACCCTTATGAGTCTGACTTTTTACAGCCTTTGCCTGCATGGCCTATCAAGGTAATAGGAAAATGTCCTGTCATCACTTTTAATATGGACTTGTCTCACTCTCTTTTTGTTTTTAGAAGGCATCTTTCCTTTTTTTAAAAAAAAATTTATATTCAAGTTAGTTAACGTATATTGTACTATTAGTGTCAGGGTTTTGTTTTTTAAGTTGGTGCTTTCTGCTACTTTCAGCATCAGAGGAATCTCCAGTGACAAAGTATGGTATGACTTTGGTATGACTAACCTGGGCAGAAATCCTTACTCACCTTGGACATCTTATCTAACTTTTCTTTTCTTTTTAAGATTTATTTATTTATTTTTTAGAGAGAAAGAACACAGTGGGGAGAGGGGTAGAGGGAAGAGGAGAGACTCTCTTAAGCAGACCACACTGAGTGCTGAGCCCAATGCAGGGCTCATCTTAAGACCCTAAGATCACCACCTGAACCCAAACCAAGAGTTCGCAGCTTAACCAACTGCACCACCCAGGCTCCCCTTACCCAGTTTTGCTGCATTAATGTCCTCTCATTTGAATAAAGGAGAAAAAATGTGTAGATTATAGAGTTGTTTGAATTAGAACTAAGACCAGTAGTTGCTGCTAATGGAATGATTACTATATGCCAAGTCCTGTGCTGTATACTTTACATGGATAATTAATCTTTGTGATGTATGTGAGACACATAGACCTATGTTATATATGGTTACTGTTTAATAAATGGCAACTGCTATCATAGTGCTATGATTCAGTCAACTGCTAATGTGTTCTAAGCGCTGCACATATCATAAAGGAGTGATAACTATGCAGCAGAGTGGAGTGGAAAGAGTACTGACTCTGAATCCTTGATTCACAACTACCATTTATCAGTTGTGTGAGGTAGTCTTCTTCCAGACCTCCATGACTTGCTCTACAAAATGAGATCATGATATTTACATTCCCTATAGGGTTGTGCTGAAGATCAAATAAAATATTAGATGTGAAGACACTCTGTAAAGTGTAAAGATACATTACACCATAAATGTTTAGCTTCTTTGCATGGCAAAATTCTTTATTGTGTATCCCCTTTTAAACATTCTTTTGTGGGATCCCTGGGTGGCGCAGCGGTTTGGCGCCTGCCTTTGGCCCAGGGCGCGATCCTGGAGACCCAGGATCGAATCCCACATCAGGCTCCCGGTGCATGGAGCCTGCTTCTCCTATGCCTATGTCTCTGCGCCTCTCTCTCTCTCTCTCTCTCTCTGTGCCTATCATAAATAAATAAAAAAATTTAAAAAAAACATTCTTTTGTAAAGAACATTCATCTTACTTTTTTTTTTTAAGATTTTATTTATTTATTCATGAGAGACACAGAGGGAGAGAAAGAGAGAGGCAGAGACACAGGCAGAGGGAAAAGCAGATTCCATGCAGGGAGCCTGATGTGGGACTCAATCCCAGAACTCCAGGATCACGCCCTGGGCCGAAGGCAGGCTCTAAACCACTGAGCCACCCAGGGATCCCCTCGTCTTACTTTTAAAATCAAAGTTTGGCCAACTTAATGGTTAAGTTTAGAGAATATAACTGATTTTACAGCTACAATGAGTGCCGGAAATGTAAATACACTTGATAATATGAGAACCAGTTTTCAAAAGCACTTTCAACTTAATACATTCTTTTTGAACTTAATATTAAATGAACATTTTGCTCAAAACTTTGTAACCCAAATGGAACAGAGTCATTTGCTATTCATCATCGAAAATATAGAATGACAAGTGGATGTCTTGCACATAGCAGGCCAGAGGTAAATGTGTATAGAATTAAATTGAATTTAATCAATACAGAATTATTTAAAAGAGCAGATTTCTTTCATGATAAGAAAACCTGGATCAAAGTAATGAGAAAAAACTAAATTTGAGCCAGTTAGCCTCCATATATGTCTTTGCGCTGATACCTTTATCTATATTATTTTACTGTTTACAGAATACTTTCATGTATGCTATCCCATTTAATCCCCACAATATGGGAAAAAGCTACAGTGGAGAGGAAATTTATGGAGAGGAAATTTAAACTCCGTGAAGAGTGGTGAAAGTGGAATTTGAACTTGGGTCTACCATTGTTCAGAAATCTTCTGATCTCTACCATATTGCCCTGGATTAGGAGAGGATTTGGATGAAGTTTTGGGTGGATCTCTAGCCATATTGTGTCAACTATCAGATTTAACTGTATTCTTTGTACAAAGTGAGAATTATGTTTGGATTTTTATGCCCACTCGAAGAGCAAATGAGTTTCTCAGGTGATAAAAACATGGGGAATTCCCTTATTATTTAGAATGAAGGTAGGCAAACTTTATTTGTAAAGGACTAGATAATAAATATTTTATGTTTTGTGGGCCATTCAGTTTCTGTTGCAGTTACTCGGTTCTGCAGTTATAGCAAGAAAATAGCCATAGACAAATATAAATCAGTGAGGAAGACTGTGTCACAATAATTCGTTATTTCTAAAATAGGCAATAGCCTGGATTTGGCATGCTGACCCCTGATTTAGAAAAAAGAGGAATACAGCTTTTTAGTGTTCATTTCTGTGTGATTTGGAACAAGGAACACTAACTTTGCTTTTCTCTCCATTTCTTTTACGTTCCTTTTGAGATATTTTGTTGTTGCATCTTAAATGTGAATAAATGTTCTATCCTTTCTCTCTCCTAAATATTCACTCAAAGTTAATTGAGTATATCTCAAATATTTGTCATCTGTTTTTGATTTAGCACAATCCTTCTTTTATCTTTTGTATATTTTACATTCTAAAAGTTTATTTTTAGGGCAAGATAACTTGTATTTTTGCCCGACAATCACCTTTTACATTTCTCTTCAGTTCTTTCTTACTGGCTTTATCCTTTCTTTTGGCATATGAAGGAGTTCTTAATTGCTTATAATATGATTCTGTTTCTTGCTTGTACTCCAACCAAAAGAAATCTCTTTGCCCCCTGCTTGAGGAATTTTCATTGCCTCTATTTCCAGTTTTATCCTTATATGATTTCAGAGTTTTTCTACTACATGCCTCCCTCTCAAACTTTTAGCTTCAGATCACTTTCTTTCACTGTTCATTCTGTTTCTCCTTTCTTGACCTCCTCTCTGTTCTCTCAACCCACTAATCCCAGAAACACTACCCAGTTGGGGACCGCTCTTTCACTTGGATAGTTCCATTTAGCCAGGACTCCTCCTCCCTCTGATACACTTCCTCCTTTTTAAAGAGCTGACAAACAGCAGTCCTTTTCTAAGTCTGTAACTCAGGCTTAGGATAGTGAGATAATGTGTAACAGTTAGGTTATGAAAAAAAAGTAAGTGATTTCCAATTCTGCCTGGACCTTGTACAGTTCTGAAGGATCCAGAGACAGTGATTGAATGCCTTTTCCATGTCAACTCCAGTATCATTCTTTTAATTTGTTTGTGAGCTTTGCACACTCGGAGTCCATTTGCTTTTGTTTACTGTTAACAGAAGCTGCAACATTCATGCAGAAATAATCATCGACTTGGCTGAGGGAATGCAGGGAAGAAGAGAAAAGGGAAATAGAAAAACCTCTCTGTCATTTGACTACTCTGACAGCATTAAAAACTACCAGGTCTCTTCTCAGTTTAAAGAGCAGTTTTTAAGGATACTATAGAGGTTGTTTATTTTGAATAAGTTTTTAGCTGATAACTCACCAAATCTTTTGGCTTAGCCTTCTGAGCATGCAGATAGATACAGTGAAATAATAAGACATAAGATGGAAAATCTCTTCCGTTTGTCTTGGTGTTTGATAATGTATGCGACCTCTCTGGGTGGTTTAAGCGGTTTAGGTGCATTCTATGAAAAGAGAGCTTTTAATGACAAAACTAATGTGATTATCTGTGAGTGTGAGAGGGGTATTGAAGCCTTAGAGAAAGAAAATCTGTTAGAAAAGCTGAATGTATCTGCTTAATCCTTTCTCTAATGTGGATGGACCATACTTTCTGAGAGGAGGTTGGTCTTTTTTTTTTTTTTTAACCCATCTTCTTTCTTTCCTTTTAAAAAAATTTCTTTGCCCCCTTTATCTTTCTCTTATTCAAATGCTTATTTTTATAGGTAAGGGGACACATAAAGCTTTTAAACAAATCATTATCTTTACTTTCTGTAGTGTATGTGGGGTCAAAGGGCAGAATCTAAATATTTGGGTGCAAAAGTAATTAGTTTGGTACTAAGATTGGAATGTTCTATCTAGTTCTATACTCTTTAAAACCAGAATTATTAAAAAAAGAAAAAGAAAAAAAAAGAAAACCAGAATTATTAAAATGGACTTATAATGCTCTTTTTAAGTTTTTCCTGGGCATTCACCTTTGTTCTAGGAAATAGAAAGTAAATTAAGTATTTCATATGTTGATTGTTGAGCCTCATATTAATTACTCTATTTTACAGTTTTCTTTTTTTGTTACATATTTAAAAAGTTATGTGACTTTTATATTGCCACAGAATCCCTTTTATTAGAATTTTTACCTAAAATAAACTTAGAAAAATATAAAGATAGTCTAAGAATAAAAAATTTTGCTTAAAAAATTAAGCATAAGACTACAGGTATATTTAGGCACTGTTTGTGTTATTTTTCTCTAATACTACAACTTTGAAGTTGGGTATGTGTAGTGTTGGTTATTACAAATGGAAGCTCTAGAGTGAGTCTTGCATTTAATTAAATCCCAGCTCTGCCACTTCCTGGCTGTATAACTTTGGGCAGGTTTCTTAACCTCTCTGTGCTTTAGTTTCCTCATCCGCAAAGTGGGGATATAGTAATTGTAATGCTTATTAGGTTCATAATGAGAATGTAATAGTGTATAGTAAGCACTAAATTGATACTAGTTATATGATATTAACAATAGCTATTATTGTTGTTGTATAATAATAGAGGAACAGTGTTTTACCAGGACTTTGTGGCAAAAGTCTCGGTTTAGAACTTATATTTGTAGTTTTCAGACTGTTTATCGCTAGCCAGACCTTGCCAAGGTTTTTTTTTTTTTTTTGCCTTTGTGATTTGGGGATGGCCATTGTATGTTTTCCCTGGGTCATTGTAGGGAAGGTACCTGAGCTTAAGGGGTATTCAGTAGTTGTACTAGCAGCCTCAGTCCCGATACCCTCCTATCAGTGAATTTATGGCTTAAGTAGAAATGCTATACCTTGTGTAGAAATTGTTTAGAAGAAGCTAATTTGATTGTGTCCACAAAATGAATAGAAAATATAGTACAGAGGTACATGAGTGGTATTTTGAATGGAAGTAGTTGGCAACCCTAATTGTTAAACTATATAGAAATATGTAGAGATTGTGTTCCTTATGCTAGAGGATGATGCTTGGACTCACAGAAGTTTTGCGTTAGAAGGGAACTCTAGAAGCACTAAAATAATAAAATTCTCTTAGTAAATTTGTAAATATTTTACCAAAAAATTTTAAGTGATTTTTTTTTAGGCCTTCTATTATCTAGTGTACCAGTAGAATTATAAATTGGTACTTTCTTTCTTCTGTCATCCTTGCTTGACAGGATGTAGCAAAGGCCTTAAAATTTTTTCTTTCCCAGGGCACCTGGGTTGTTCAGTTGGTTTAGCATCTGCCTTCAGCTCAGTTCATGCTCCTGAGGTCCTGAGATGGAGCTCCTCCTCCCAACTCCCTGCTTAGCAGAGTCTGCTTCTCCCTCTGCCCCTCCTCCACCTGTTTGTGCACGCGCGCGCGCGCCACGCTCTCTCTCACTTTCACTCTTACCCTCTCTCTCAAATAAATAAAATCTTTTAAAAAATGTTTATTTACTTTGAATCAGTTATCTTAAGAAAACAAGAGTATATGTTAAGATATAGCCCCAGGGTTTATCTGTTTATTGTAGCCTTTTGTAGTATGAAAGATTAGGAATGATACAAATGAGGAATTGTAGGATTGCTTCAACTTTTCCTCAACTCCCCATCCTACTTGCTCCCCTCTGGATTTTCTCATGTTGATCATTGTCCTTCTTAGAGTGTGATGCTCAGAACTGAACCCAGTACTCCAAGGGAGCCCTGACCTCACAGAGGACAGTAGATCCAGGAGTGGCCTTAATCTGGACACAGAATCTCTATTAGCAGACGCCAAGTTTCTGACCATGATGTTCTCTCTGTGTAACTGGGGCTGCAGAAACCCAAGTATTGTCAGCCGGTGCCGGTCCCCAGCCATGCTCGTGTCTTTTAAGGAGTGACAGTAACTGCTGTTTGCAGAGATGGCTATTCATGGGGACTCCTTTTCTTTGCCTGACAGAGGCCTAGTGTTCTAGCTCTGAGAGGGATCTGATGCCAGCATGTGAGTCACACTTAACTTGCTACTGTTCTTTTCCAGAGTTTTAAGCCACTTGTTTGTTATTGCTCGTCAGCACTCCCCGTTTCCTCCTGCCCAGCTTACATTGTCACCCCGCCTCATCTATCTAGCTGTGCTTGAACATAATGCTTTTCTATGCATCCCATGGATCCATTCCATAGTTTTATGTTGCAATTGGAAAGAGCAGAGTCCACTGTAAATGTCCACAGTAAAGAAGGAATGCTGATCAACTGTTGGGAATTAGTAGTTTAACAAATTCTGTGATTGGTCCTTAATTTCCATATTTTCTTGAGTATTTCTTAGGAACATTTTCTGAGAAAGGTGCTATGCAAATGTTAGGTATTTTTTGACTTACCATGAATAATTGAAAGTTGTCAGAAAACACTGTTTTTTGCCTTTTTTTCTTCAGCTTACATTTTCTTACTCCTTTAGGTTTGATAGGCTTGCTCAATTCTGTTTCTTTATGTACACCTTTTCAGGTGTATCTTATTCTTATGACCTCTCTGTTACTTTTTAAGGTATATCCAAGTTCTTTGGACACCTTAATTTCTGACTTTTCTTTCACTATAAAACTCTGTCTCCCTTTTGAAAAGCCACATTGAGCATGTTAAAGGCTCTGAGGAATCCTGCAGTCAAGTTAAATTGTTCACATTTGCAGATACAACATTTCTTAAAATTATTTGACTATGAAACTATTTTTCACAAAGTACAGAAATATTTTTGTGCTAAATGCGTTTGGGGAGGGGCATTGAATTTTCCCTGATTCATTTCTTCTGCCTTTTCACATTTCCTTTTTTTTTTTTTTTTTCTTTTTCAGAAAGGTGTTGCTGGAAACTGGTCCTAAGCAGAACTGTGATGGTTTGCTTTCTGCTGTTCACTTCCTTTCTCAGTGTCCTTCTTTCCTGAGTGGGAGCACGTCCCCAGCCCAGGCCTTGTGGCTTCTGCTGCCCAGAGTCTCTCCCTGAAGTAGGGTAACTAGACTCTTTCTTTCCTGGCTCTTTCTTCTCTGGACATCTCTCTCTCTCTCTCTCTCTCTCTCTCTCTCTCTCTCTCTCTCTTAATCAGAACTTGCCTGCTGTATACAATCTTTTCCATATGAGAGGAGAAAGGACCAAATCACTGACTTCATGTCAAGGTGTTAATAGAGGATGCAAACTTAATAAATGTGTTTTCCTTGCCATTGAGGCTATTTGCAGTTTTACAAGGAATGCTTTTTAGGTTGTGTAGCGTAATGGATAAGATGTATCTTTCAGAACTAGAGAGATCTGTAGTTGTATCTAGATCTTAACATTTACCAGCTGGATGACCTTAAATAAAGTGATTTAACCTAAGATTCAATTTCTCTGTGTAAAATAGTGGACAATAATATATCTGATAAGATTGTTTGAGGAATGTATGATATAATGATTGTAAACCCAGAACTTAGTAATTAGTAGCTATTGTTGTTTTTCTACTCTGATTCCATAGCCTGTGATTTTTCCCCAATATTTTATTGTGAAAAATTTCAAATACAGAAACACTGAAATAATTGGACAGTGAACACCCATAAAAATACCACTTAAATTCTAGAAAAGCATTTTGCTGTATTTGATTTAGCACATATATATTTGCCTAGCCATTTTTCTATCCTTCATTCCATTTTACCTTTTAAATGCATTTCAGTGAGTTGCAGACATTAGTGTACTTCTTCTTTATCATCATTAACTAGAGTTTATTATTTGTATGATTCTTTTTTTTTAAAGATTTAATTTAATTTATTTATTCATGAGAGACACGCAGAGAGAGAGAGAGAGATAGGCAGAGACATAGGCAGGGGAAGTAGCAGGCTCCATGCAGGGAGCCTGATGTGGAACACGATCCCGGGACTCCAGGATCACACCCTGGGCTGGGCTGAAGGCAGGCACTAGACCGCTGAGCCACCCAGGGATCCCCTGTATGATTCTGTTTTTAATATAAAATTTATATACAGTTAATTAGACAAATTCCAAGTGGACTGTTTGTTGTATTACCCAGACCTCTGTGAAGATATTGAATATTTTTCTTCCCTTAAAAGTTCCCCAACCCCTGTCTAGTCATTCCTGCTTTACTCCCGACCCTGAGTATTGTGTGATTTTTAAGTACTAGAATTTCAGGTGCTAATTATAGTTCAGTAATAAGAATATTTGGAATCTAGGGTACTACCTGGTATGCTTCTTATCATACCACAGAGATTGGAGTTTGATATAGTTTTTCCATAAGAAATTTTATAAATTTTGCATTTTCACAAAAATGTATTTATTCATTTAGTTAGCATTTAGGTGTCAGATACCTTGCTAAGTGCTGAGTGAGATGTTCTGGAATCAAATGAATACAGTGCAGTGTTATAGGGGCTCTGCTAGAAACAAGTATAGGTTATAAGTAGAAGCACAAAGGGAGTGATCTAGTTCTTTGCAACTTGAGGGCATAGCTAATGATAGCCTCACAGAGGAGGTGATACTTAAGCTAAGTATTATAGAAAATGAATTGGTGTTTGCCAGACATTAATGGAGTGGGAGAGTGGGAAAAGGGTATTTCAGGGTGAATAAAGGCAAAGAGGAGAGAAAGAGCCTGGTGTGGTGGGAATGATTTTGCTAGACTGAAACAAGGGAGGAAGCTACAGTGGTAGGTGTGGAGGATTTTGCACACCATGCAAATGACTGTTTATTTCTATAGCTAAGAGTAATTTAAATTTTATACTTAGAGAATGATGGTTTATTCATTTATGAACAGGATAATACTCGAGATAAAAATTGTCAAGCAATGCTGTTAGATGTTTAAGATTGTTTTATAGACAAATCAAAATCATATTTCTTCTTTGTTTCATTAAAAATCATGATTTTATAAATATATTCTGACTCTTCCTTTATGTCCTTTTGAAATGACAGGTAGTGTGCCAGTATTTGAGAAATCCCAACGTACCTGATGCACAGCTTCTGCAGAATATTTTCCAAGCTCTGAATGTATATTACAATTATTCAGGCCAGGCCAGCTGCCTCAATGTATCAGAGACAACAACTAGCAGTCTGGGAACCCAGGGGTGGAGCTATCAGGTAAGCATGTATCATTTCCTCAAGTGGAACTTATTTTTCACTGATATGGTTATACTGTGACAGAGTTCACAAGATTTTGTCACCAACCTGGATCCAAATATGGTCTCCATTGTCTTACACTGTGAACCGTGGATAAGTTCGTTCGTTCGTTCATTTGTTCCTTCCCTCCCTCCTTTTGTTCGTTTCCTTCCTTCCTTCCTTTCTTTCTTCCTTCCTTCCTTCCTTCCTTCCTTCCTTCCTTCCTTCCTTCCTTCCTTCCTTCCTTCCTTCCTTCCTTCCTTCCTTCCTGTATTTAGCATCACCAAATATATTCTGGGTACTTACCACATGCCAGACAACATTCTAGGCTCTGAAGATACAAAGGTAAATAAGACATGATCTCACCTTCAAATATAGTTCATTGAAAAAACTATTTATATTACAATAGATCTTGGTAAGTCCAAAAAGGAAGTATTTTATGTATGCAGAAAAGAAGAGGAGTCTAATTTGATTCTCTCTTAGCCTCTATTCTTTCATCTGTATGAGACTAATAATAATAAAAAATACTTTGCCTCCAGAATTGTTTTGATGATTCATTATGATAATAAGTGCAAAAGAAAGCAGTTTAAAAAGGAAGAATATATAGCCCTAATTTTTGTAACTTCTCAACTGAGTCTTTCCAGGAATAATGAGAGGTGGTATGACAGAGATAAAGATCAGGGGCTCTGAAGCCAAATCACCTAAGTTCAAGCCCTAGCTTTGCTACTACTAGCTGTATGACTTTGGATAACTTATTTAACTCTTTGTGCCTCATTTTCTTATTGGATTCTCTTTTGATTTCCTTTTTTAAGGCCTGCACAGAAATGGTCATGCCTTTTTGTACTAATGGTATTGATGACATGTTTGAACCTCACTCATGGAACTTGAGGGAATTTTCTGATGACTGTTTTAAACAGTGGGGTGTGAGACCGAGGCCTGCCTGGATCATTACTACATATGGAGGCAAAAACATAAGTGCACACACAAACATCATTTTTAGGTGAGTTTTTACTGACAGTTTTACTGACATTTTACTGATGCATGCTGACAATAATATAGAATGCAGTAGTGCTATCCATCATGTTTTTCCTTGAAAGACAGAGGATGCTACACAAGAGATAGATTTTATACTCTATTACCAACGTGCTTAAAAGGCTTAAAAACAATAACAGTAACAAAATTTAAATCATTTATGAAACAATGCTAGCACAAAATGGAGCATCATCTGCTGCTCTCAATTTGTGTTATTATTTTTTTAAAAGATTTTATTTATTTATTCATGAGAGACACAGAGAGAGGCAGAGACAGAGGAAGAAGCAGGCCCCCTGTGGGAAGCCTGATATGAGACTTGATCCCAGGACCCTGGGATCATGACCTGAGCTGAAGGCAGACGCTTAATCAACTGAGACACCCACGTGCCCCTCAACAAACACTTTTGAGGTGCCTATTCTGTTCTGTTTCAGGCACTATATGAGACACTTTAAATAAATTGCCTAATTGAATCCTCACAACAGTCCTATGAAATAGTTGTTATAGTCCCTTTTTCACTGAGAAGGAAAGTGAAGGTCACTGTGTTCAGTCACTTGCCAAACCTCATCTAGCTTTGTTATAGTTACTAAGTGATAAAGCCAGATTTCAACCTTGGCTTGTCTGACTACAAAACCTGTGTTTGTTCTTCTATGTTACACTGTTTCTTTAGAAGGGATATATTTGGTTTGGACTCATATCAAAGTTAATTAAATAGACTCCTTTGTGTATCTGATTGTGATTTTAAAATTTCCATATTTTGGTTTGGTCAGCTATTAAGATAACAACCAATTACTCAAAAATTTCCCCAAATCTAAATAGTAGAGAGATAGTGTACATACCTCTTAACCTGCAGCCATTGTTTAAACTGTAAATGTCATTCTTTTACAAGTCTTTAAAATGAGGGTCAAATTTGGCCTTCTGCACATGGCTGGTAGCTTTTAGGAGTGAGTAGTGCTGTTTTGAAGGATCATTCTCTGTATTTAGGCTGGTGACACTGCCCAATTTGCAAAAGAGCTTCTGTCTTATTAGATGCATGCTGTTTGCTCACCCAGCAGGATACTTGCCCCAAATAAAAGGTGAAACACTTTCATGGAAAATTTAAAGATTCTTTTGTTTAATTTCTTTAAGTTGTGTTTCTTGTTCTCAGGAGGATTCTTCAAATCAACCTACTCCTCAGATCAGCCTTTTAAAGTAATGGTTGAGCAAATAGATCTAAGTATAGATTACCTAAGGAAACTGCCAAAGTAGGGTGTGTGAAATCAGGAAAGCATGAAGGGACCTAGTATAAAAGGCTTAAACACAACTTTGGATCTCTAGGTTCATTTTTGTTCCTTCAAAAGAAGGACTTTGTCAATTTTTTTTGTTTTTCTTTGGTAATTTATCTCCATTTAGTATTTAAATGAATTTCTGTAGCATGCTGATACTTTAAGCTCATCCTTCCTTGCTTTGACCTTGTAAAGCTAAAGTCCAAGTTGATCTGTAGAGTCTTTAAATCCTTGTATAAAGGTTTTAATAGGAGTTTTGGTTAAATACATTGTCATTTTTTATTAGATTCAACCATTATAGATGAATATTTTATCTGTTTGCCCTTTTATATTATTTTGCTGAGGCTATCTAAATCATCATCACTGAGGAATGGGGCAGATTTTGTGAGAAAAGTTTTGGGAATAGAACTAAAGCCAACAGATGGAAATTATAGTTTAGTGTTAGAAAGTTTTAATTCAGTATTAAGGAGGGAGTTTCTAACTGAACTGTTGAAAGGTCCAGTCGGCTGTTTTAAATAAAATTACTTAAGCTCTTCGATCCTCAGTCTTCTTTTCTGTAAAATGCTATAATGATACCACTCACCCCACAGTGTTGTATGATGCTTAAGAGTTAACCCAAGGAAGTATTTGACCCAGATTTGACAAACATATATGCTCAAAAACTTTTTTTGAATGAATAAATGGAAATATACTCTCTGCCTTGTATTTATGTCCCAGCTACAGGAAACTGTTTGTCTTTGTATGTCCTTTCCCTTCCTCTTTTTCTTCCTTTCTTAAGACTCAGGCCTTTCCTCTTTTTCTTCCTTTCTTAAGACTCAGGAGTCCTCTAAGAACTCTTCCCTGAGTCCTCCAGAGAGGTTAGATTCCCCTTACCCTCTTAGCTCCCCTAGACCTGTGAATAGCACTTAGCACTCTGTGTGGAAATTATCTATTTGTGTTTCTGTCTCCTCCATGAGATTGCAAACTTCTTAATGGCAGAGACTTTGTCTTAATCATATCTGTGCCCTTAATACTTGCTCCAGTATTGACACATATTGGATGCCCAAGAAATATATGTGTTCATAAAAAACAAGGAATGAAATACAAAGCTTATTAGAAAGGCTTCACAGGCATATGAAAGTTTAAAGGCAGGACTATGGAAGATCCTGGTTTATCTTTTAAAGTCTACTTTTAAAAAATCTTTATGCTGCTAGGTGAGAAAACCATTGTAAATATTTTAAAGTTATTAAAAAATTCAAAGTTTACCTGCTTTTCTGAAGAAAACACATTCCCAAAGTAAAGAGACAGCCTTAGGTGTTGCTGTTCTGTCTACTTAGTGGCTACCAGCTAGAAAAAGTTTTTCGCTGATGAGTAAGAAAATGTTCAAGGAACCAAGTGGAAAGTATCTTTATGTCCATGCTTCTCTCCTTAGGTCATCTCACACAAATCCAGTTGTGACTACTTTTCTGAATGGGATAGGAGATTTGTCAGTTAGATTAAAAGCATGGGGGCAGCCCTGGTGGCTCAGCCTGGGGCCTGATCCTGGAGACCCGGGATTGAGTCCCACATCGGGCTCCCTGCATGGGGCCTGCTTTTCCCTCTGTCTGTGTCTCTGCCTCTCTCTTTCTTTCATGAATAAATAAAATTTTAAAAAAAAATTAAAAGCTTGGGCTTTGAAGTCAGGTAGACCAAGTTAGCTGGATAGCCCCAAGCAAATTGCTAATTTGTAGAAGTTAGAGGTAATGACTACCAAACAGGGTTACTTTAATGAGTAAATAGATTATCATGGAAGTAAGCACCATGAGGACAGAGATTTTGTCCGTTCATTGTTGAATGCATTGTATGCACTCAGTAAACATTTTTTGAATGAATGAGTACTTAATAAATAGTGGCCATTAATCATTCCATTTCAGTAATTTTCTTATTCTGCAGCTGTTTTGTTAGAAGGATTTATTTTTCTCCCAGTCTCAACTGGTAAGAAGTTATCTTACCAGTGGTCATGCTTATTTATTTAAATATAAATCCTAAAGGGAGTCCCTGAAGAGCTGATTAGTTTAATATCATTTCTCAGGCAAATTAATTGTTGCCAGTGATTAGAAGCTCACTGTTGGGAATTTTATCCAGGCATCTTGACTCTCTCGTGAAAGCCAGTATTTTTTTTTTTTTTTTTTTTTTGGTAAATGTCCCAGTGGCTGGTTTAGCTTTCACGTGTCTAGGACCAAAAAATTCAAGTCCATGTGCATCTTAGGTCTCTCAGCAACTCTAAACACTGTTGCTAAGCCACTGGGCTGATTCAGATGACCTTTTAAATCAAATGCAGTTTGCTTATTATGTGGCTGTTGGGATGGCTTTTTTGTTTTGCAAATAATGGAGAGTTTCCTATCTGGGTTGGTCCTGTCAAATTGGAATAATGATAAAGGCTATTTGTTCACTTAAGAGAATTAACCCCTTGTGTAGTTTACTATAAGAATTTATCTGGTAGTTGAAAACTAAGGCTGTATTTTGCATAGGAGTTATCCTTTTTGTTTTTAACAAAATTTGGAGTGTTTTTTCCCCCAAGAATGATGTTATTAAGTTGCAGTTGAATTCATTTTGTTTTTAAAGAGAGATGTGATGAGAATAGAACAGGATTTTTTTTTAAGATTTATTTATTTGAGAAAGAGAGAGACAGAGTGAGCATGCCAGTGGGTGAGGGGCAGAGGGAGAGAATCTTAAAGCATACTCCCTGCTGAGCATGGGGCCCATGGTAGGCTCAATCCCAGGACCCATGAGATCATGACCTGAGCCAAAACCCAGAGTCAGATGCTAAACTAACTGAACCACAAAGGTGCCCCTAGAACAGGAAGTTTAAAATTGTATTTCAAGCATAAACGTGTGTGTGTGCGCGCGTGCGTGTGTGCTTATTTTCTCATTTAGTTTGTATATTTACCTGGAAAATGTTGATCACATTCCTTTTCTGGCCAAATTTCTAGGAGACCTGCCTTTACATCCCTTTTCATAATTCATTAACCTCTCAGAAGTATTAACACTTCTCATGCTTACAGAATATGATAATAATAATTATAATAATACTGCACATTTGTGTAGTATTTTATAGTTTATACTTTATTGTCACATTATTATTGAACTTGAATTTCACAATATCTGTGAGGTAGGAGCATTATCTTTTCTTGAAAAAAATTTTTGTGAGAGTGCCTGGGTGGCCCAGTTGGTTAGGCATCTGACTCTTGGTTTTCAGCTTAGGTCATAATTTCATGGGTCAAGGGATTGAGGCCCATGATGGTGTCTGGGTTGAGAGAGGACCCTGCTGGAGTTTCTCTCTCTCTGTCTGCCCCTCCCTGCTGCTGTGCTGTCTTCCTCTCTTCTCTCTAAAATAAATAAATAAATCCTTTAAAAAATTTTTGTTTTTCTTCATAATACATATGGGAATTAAGGTTCACAGAGGTTAGATGACTTACCCAAGGTCATGGGCTGCTAAGGGTATATAACTTAGATCTTAGTTAATTGTTCTTGCCACTACTTATACACAGCTGAAGGTCAGTTTCTCTTTATTTTTATTAATCACTTATATTAACTGGTTTCCCATGTAAAGTGGGGTTTCCCACTAAAGTGATTTCATGTTCCTGAACTTGCATATATATATTTATATATCTCTTTGTAGAGCATTTAGTACAAGGCTCAGACAACTAGACACTTAGATTTTTTTCCTTCGTTCAGTAAATATTTGGCTCCTACCATGTGCCAGGCCTGGTTCTAGGCACTGTAGATATAATGATAAACAAATGAGACAAAGTCCCTGCCATCATGGAGTTCTAGGTGGAGAAATAGGTAAAGATAGTACCTATAAATATGTTAAGAGGAGCTAAGTGCTAAGAATGAAAAATAAACCAGGAAAGAAGCCATGAAATGTTGGGAGAAAGGAAAAGATTTGCAATTGTATTTTATTTCTTTTATTTATTCAAGTAATCTCTACACCCAACGTGTGGGGCTTGAACCCATGACCCGGAGATTAAGAGTCACATGCTCCTCCAATTGAGCCAGCCAGGCACCCCAAGGTTTGCAATTTTATTTATTTTTTTAAAAAAATAAAATAAAAATTTTATTTAGAATTTTTAAAAATAAAAATAAAATTTTATTTAAAATTTTTAAAAATAAAAATTTTTTTTTAAAAAGATTTTATATATCTATTCATGAGAGACAGAGAGAGAGAGAGAGAGAGAGAGAGAGAGAGAGAGAGAGAGGCAGACAGGAAAGCAGGCTCCATGCAGGGAGCCCGACGCGGGACTAGATCCCTGGTCTCCAGGATCAGGCCCTGGGCTGAAGGTGGTGCTAAACCACTGAGCCACCCGGGCTGCCCAAGGTTTGCAATTTAAGATGAGAATTATCAAGGAAGACCTCACCAAGGGGGAGCACTGGAAAAATGATCTGGAGGAAGGAGGTAGCCATAGGGTTGGGGGGGTAAGAACATTCCAAACCAAGGAGTAAGCAAAGGCAAAGGCCTATAGAGATAAATGTCCTGGCTATAGTAAGAAGGTCAGTGTGGTTGGAGTGGAACTGATGAGGGAGAGAGTAGCACAAGATAAACTTAGAAGCCACCGAGGGCCTAGATGATACAGAGACCTATAGGTCCTAGTAAAGATTTTGGCTTTTAGTCTGAATGAAATGGGAAAACTCAGAGTTTTGAGTAGAGAAGTGACATAATCTAATTCAGGTTTTAACTGGATCAAATTGGATGCTCTAAGCCCGGAGATAAGAGTAAAAGCTGGAAGATCAGTTAAAGAGCTATTTAGGTTAAAGGTAATGGTAATTTGGGCCAGAGTGGTGGCAGTGGAGGTGGTGAGAAGTGTTGGAAGTTCTATCTATATTCTTGAAGATTTAACTGACAGGAATTGGTGATAGATAGGGTGTGAAAGAAAGAGATTCAAGAGTGACATCAAACTTTTTGGCCTAATCGACTAGAAGAAGGATAGGGTTGCCTTTGACAAATATTGGGAAGATAGTGGGAGGGCTGATTGAGAGTTGAGGAGTATTAAGAGCTCTTTTTTAGACCTAGTACATTTGAGATGTCTAATTAGATTTCCATGTAAAAATGTCAAGTAGTTTAGGAGAAAGGTCCTCGCTAAAGATATTATTTGATAGTCATCTCTTATCTTCATCTTATAGATGAAACTTTTAAAAATGATTATGCAAATTATGGGAACCATTTCATATATCTGATAATGTGACCCTGAAGATTTGTTATTTGGGCTTTGTACCAATATCAGCAAAATGAGATGTACATGAAACAAATGTCGTGAAACGTCAGAATGCACATAAAAATGTTTTGTAACATATCGTATGTCAAGTGATTATGTAGATAAAGATATACCAAGAGATACAGTACCAGGGGAAAATGATCTAATAGTTGCCATGTTCTTAAATCCAGGTATTTCAGTCTTTATTTTATTTTGAGGAATCTTTTAACTTCCATGAGATTAGGAAGCTGAGAGGCAGACCTAGAAATGGAACCCAAATGTGTCTGATCCCAAAGTTTATGCTCTCCTACTCTGCACCACACAAATCAAGAGGATATGTGCTGTTGATTTCCAAATTGTGTCCATGAAATGCAATGTAATGTAAGATTGAGCATTGGACTGGGGTTATAAGGCCTGAGTTTGTATCTCAGATTTGCCATTTCTAGCTGAGTGACTTGGGCAAGTCTTTTAATTTCTCTGGACACTAGTTTTCTCATCTATAAAAGAGCTGTAATTAAACCTACCTCACAGAGTTGTTATAATAGTCAAATGTGAAAGCCTTGTAAACTCTAAATTACTCTATGTAGGTGTGGGGTTAATAATGCTAGGAAGCAATTTGATTTACAATAGCATCAAAAATAAAATACTTAGGAAAAACATAAGAAGTGTAAGACTTATATACTGAAAACTACAAAACATTGGAAAAAATTAAAGATCTAAAAAAATGGAAAGGCATCCTCATTTTCTTGTGTAAGAGATAATATTAGTAAGGTATTAATATTCCAGAAATTGATCTACAAATTCTGTATAATCTCTATCAAAATCTCAGCTGATTTTTTTTCACATCAATTGACAGGCTGATCATATAAAAATGTAGGGGGCCCACAGTAGCCAAAACAGTATTAAAAAAGGAAAAACAAATTTGAAGAAGAACTCATACATCCTGTTGTCAAACTTACTACAAAGCTACCATAATCAATGTATTACAATACTATGATAAAGAAAGACATACAGATCTTTCAAAGAGAATTGGTAGTCCGGAAATCAACTCTTGTTATGTGTATGGTTAATTGATTTTCCACAAGGGGCAGGGCAATTTATTGGGGAAAGAATAGCTTTTTTTCAAGAAATGATGCTGGCAAAAAAGGATTTTTACAAGCAAAAGAAAGAAGTTGGATCCCTATTTCATAATTATACAAAAAAATTAACTCAAAGTTGATCAAATGAATTTAGTTGATAACTAATTTAAAAATGTTCAAGGATCTGAATAGATATTTTTTCAAATAAGATATACACCTGGCCATTCAGCACATGAAAAAGTTCCCAGTACTTTCAGTCATTTGGGAAATTCAAATCAAAACCAAAATGAGATTCCATTTCACACCCACATAGGATGGCTATAATCAAAAAGATAAGTATTGGCAAGGATTTAGAGAAATTGGAACCCTCATATTAATGGAGGATAGTTAGAAGAAAGGCAGGCAGGGGAAAGGGGCCCTCTTGTGCTAAGAGGAAACTACCCTTGGTTTGGGGTGTTTAGGCAGTGGCATGGCCGAGCAGTCCAAGGTGCTGGATTAAGGCTCCAGTCTCTTCTGAGGTGTGAGTTCTATCCCACCAATGCCAAAACGTTTTTTTGGGCTCCAATGTGGCTCAGTTGGTTAAGTGTCTGTTTTTGGCTCAGGTCAGGGCGTGATCCTAGGGTCCTGGGATCGAGTCCCACATCAGGCTCCCCGCAGGGAGCCTCCTTCTCCCTCTGCCTATGTCTCTGCCTCTCTCTGTGTGTCTCTCATTAATAAATAAATAAAATCTTTTAAAAAAAATGATTGTAAGCCCTAAAAGGGGAGCTCTCATGTACACACCAGTCCACAAGCTACACAGCCAGCAAGAAGAACGAAGATAACCATTTCAACAAGGGAGGGCACATTTCACATAGGAATTTATCTTCTGCCTTTAAATAAAGGAAGAAAGAGCCCACCATGCTCAGAACATATTACAAACCATTGAATTGTACATTTTTGCATGGGTGACTTTTGGGGGAGTTAATCTCAACAGAGCTGTTAATAGTATTGTTAGGAATACTATCAGTGGAGTATTGGGCTTTTACGCAGCTAAACTAAATAGCCAGTTTTAATGAGTGATCCTGTTTACATCATTCTGAGAGGTGGTGTGTGAACCAGCCAAGAAGACAAATAAAATACCATTTCTTTACCTTTAAAGATAATATAAAATGAAGATCTTTGAGTAATGCCCAAAGTTTCTGATTCCAGATTCGGGGGAATTTTTTCTGGTCTACCATCCTATTTTTAAAAGTAGTGTATAAAGAGGGAAGTATTATTTAAAGAGGGGGAAAAATCAGTTGTTTTTTTTTAAAAGCTGAGATAAATAGCATTTTTAAATATGGGAGTTTTTTCATCATTCTGGTAGTTGCATCCTAGGAAAGAAGGAAATCAGTATTAATTGAAGGACTCCTCTGTACCTGACACTTGTGCTTATTCAGTACATCCACATCTACTATCTGGTTTAACCCTTATAACAACCTTATGAGGTCGGCCTTATTATCTCTACTTTACGATGAGGAAACTGAATCAGATAGTAGGTGGGGAAAGGGAGAGGGAATAGGTGAAATGCAGGGGATTTTACTATGGACTTTAGTAATAAAGGTAATAATAATGTATCAATGTTGGCTCATTACAGAGCAAAATGTATATACATTGCCTGGAGCTTTTAAAGGACACCTATGTATCATTGCCATGTGTTGTTAATGCATTGTGTGTCATATAACTTTTGAGTGATGAAGCTGGGACTGAAATTAGGCTTCTAAATTCCAAGTCCTAGAGCAGTTTGGTTGATTCATAGAGTACCACCTTCAGTCTTCTCTGATTTTGTTTCGTATACTTAGCTGCAGAAATGTTGTAAAACTCTAGCATGAAGCAGCTTTTTATATGACAGATTAGATCCTCATATCAAATCCCCCAGGTTATAAACTTGTAATTTAAGATGTTATACATGTAATAGGTTTTTCCTGTCGTATCTGGGTGTAGTTATCAAAAACTAACAATCTTATTTTTTCTTCTTTCCCTCACTTAGCAATGGTGAACTAGACCCCTGGTCAGGAGGTGGAGTAACCAAGGATATCACAGACACCTTAGTTGCGATCACCATCCCAGAAGGGGCCCATCATCTAGATCTCCGAGCCAGAAATGCCTTTGATCCCACGGCTGTGCTATTAGCCCGCTCCTTGGAAGTTAGACACATGAAGCAGTGGATCAAAGATTACTATGCCAATCTGAGAAAGAAGCACTGAGCAATTTTGATCATTTTTGGTTTCTTTTATGTTCATTCTACCCATGTTCCCATTCACTTTGGTTTTCTACATGTAATTACTTTCCCTTTTTTGTCATTAGATTTGGTGGGGTGAAGGTTGAGATAGAAGAGAGGGTGATGGTGGTGACAGCAGCCATCACACATCCCAGGTGCTCACCATCTTCACGCCACCTCCACGAAAAATCTCTTTGTGACAGTTTTTCTACACCATCCATGGCCCTCATAACTGGAGCAGAGTTTTTGACTGCCTTTCACAAGAGGGAGAGTTACTCCTTTGTTTCTCTGCAAGCAGAGCTTTCTCTTCATTTTGAGGTTAAGTCTCTTTGGTCCATTTGTTACACCCCATCCCCCCCCCCCCAAAGAAAGAAAAGCAGAAAATAGATTAAAATGATGTAATTGCAGCTGGTAGGAAGGATGTCTGATGCCAATCCAGGAAATGGAAGTCATTCCTTTTGTACTTGACTTTGAACTGTGCTATAAATAAAGAATAAGGCTGGACCTTATACCTGTGTGTTGCTTCTGAGGCTCACTCCAGCTGTTGGGAATGCTGTGTGTACTGGGCTTGGCTGGTTTTGGAAAGTCCTTTAATTTTCTCTCTTCTACTTGGCCAGCTTTTCTCCGTTCTGGGATATTTGCCACTATGGTACTGCCAGTAAGTAATCTGGCCTTTTTCTGCTCTGTTTCTCTTTGTTCCTAAGGTCAGTTTTGTGGTAATTTGGTTACATTTTGCCAGTTTAGGAGAATGGCTCTGTTTTGCTTTTGCTTTTACATCTGAGCAAGCTTTTATATACCAGTCACGATACATCAGTGAGAAGCCTTTAAAAATTGATGAATCAACTATTTAGAAGATAGAATGTAGTTATATTCAGCATTTTGTTTTTTAAATTCTATTTTCTGGTGGTTGTTAGTGCTGTCATTAAAGTCAGAAGTGTCAGGGTGCTAAGAAGCAGGTGCGCGAGAACTTTTCTGTTTGGCTTCCAAAAGAGAAGCTGACTAATTCATGCAGGCAGCATATTTGACATTAATAAATGGCCGAGCCATTCCTATTTCCAAGGGGTTGGCTTCTTTCAAGCAGTTCTTACACTGAGACCTTTCTTCAGAAGAGCTTTTCTAGGATAACAAATAGGGTTGGATCAAAACCTTTCAGGGACACAGAGAGAGACTAACAGTTTCTACTCTGTTGAAAGATTTCTTCCCCCTTGTTTATTTTCTCTCAGTAATTTTTTTTTTCTTCACCTTGCCTTGGGAACATTCCCTGCTTTTCAAAAATGGTACCTTGAGCTCACTCATTTCGAAAGCACTTATTTATTTTTTTTTTAAGTACAGATACAGAGTTCATTCTTGGGTGGGAAACTGAAGTATTTCCTTTACTTTCCCGGCATCTGGGAGATACAGAAAAAAATCTTTGTCTGGTTTCGGAAGCCTTCAGTTCTCATTGTAATGAGTTGTCCATCAAAGCATTTGGTCACTATTTTCATTTCAGCATCAGAAAAAAGTCTGCTGGAGTGAGAATTTAAGGGTCAAAACAATACTAGTTTTTATTCTCTATCAGCTAAGAAGTTACATAATGCAGGATTTATGGGCTTAATAGAGGAGATGCTTACTATTTATTTTCAGTACTATTGATTTTATGATATTTTCCTTGAAACCTTATACTTGTTTAAAATCTTTAAAATACTTTGCCATTTGATTTAATATTGGTTGTTTGGATGAGTTACATTTTTGTGAGGAAACATACTGCTAAAAATTGCTATATTTTTATGCAAGTATAATTTGGTCTAATGTACATGTTTTTCAATGTATGTTTCATTACAGACAGCAACCTTAAGTTAGCCTAATTATAATATGCTAGAATTTAGTTTTAAATTGAAAAAGAATTGCAACATGAGATAAGCCTTATTATTTTAAAGCATTTCTAATTAATAGATGATGCTTTTGAAAGACCAGGAAAGAGAGACATAAAGAATTGGAGTGTTTTTATTCTGATCTTTGTTACTTTAACTGCCTGGAGTCAATGGATAGAACTAAGGAAATAGGAACCTTTCTTAAGGAATCGCTGGATCAGATTACCCAGAGGAATCAATGTCTAGTCTAGTATATTAGAAGGTAAGGGCACCTCAGATATCATCCAGTCCAAACTCATCTTTCGTAGGTTTTGGCATTGTGGCACAGAGAGACAGGACTTGCTACAACTCTCATTTTTGGTAGAAACAGGCTTCGAATCCAGGTTTTGTTTTGTTTTGCTGTTGTCTTTTAATTTGACAGAGTGAAATCTCTATTTGGATAAGTAACAAAACCTTACCAAACTAACTTAAACGAAAGAGGGAATTTATTGAAACTATGCAAGACTAGCTCCAGGATTTGAATAAAACTAGGAATCATGAAGGAGTGAAACCAGGTTCTAGAAAGTCATGAAAAATCAAGACTGCTACTTTTTGTTTCATTTCACTTTCAACAGAGGTCACCATCCTGTGGGTGAGATTTGTTCCTCAGATTTTTATAATTTGGCCAGCAGTATAAAATGTATATGAGCATCAGAGTTACCTGGAGGGCTTGTTAAAACACTGATTGCTGGGCAGCCCCGGTGGCGCAGTGGTTTAGCGCCGCCTGCAGCCTGGGGTGTGATCCTGGAGACCTGGGATCGAGTCCCACGTCGGGCTCCCTGCATGGAGCCTGCTTCTCTCTCTGTCTGTGTCTCTGCCTCTCTTTCGCTCTCTCTGAATAAATAAATAGATAAATCTTTAAAAAAACAACAACAACAAAACACTGATTGCTGAGCATCACCTCAGAATTTGTAATATGTCATGGGGATGGATCCTGGAAAGTTGCCTTTCTCGCAAGTTTCTAGGTGATACTGGGGAATCATACTTTGAGAACCACCAGTTGAAAGAACTCTGAATTTGAATATCTTGAGACAGGACATGCCCTGTCAATTTACCTCACTCATGTTACCCTGCCGGATTCCATCTGAGTGTGGGATCCCTGCCTAAAGCTTCTCCTTCCCATGGTTGTTGCTTCATTCTTTCTCTGCAGAGCTTCTCTGCTGGCACAAGGCCCATGATGACTTCCCAGCATGGTGTATCAGGCCCCTGTAAGTATACTACCTCACAAGCTCATAACTCTCAGGTGTTTAGGAGAAATGAGGTCATAAAACCATGGCTTCAAAGATCCACTATTTAGGATGGAAAGGGAGAAGTTCAGGCGACTGCAGTAGGATAGCAGACCACAGAGGTAGTGACATAAGATGAATATGCATACTTGAGCAGGGAGAAAGTTCATTCAAGTAGACCATGATTAGGAGTCATTATAAGGAATGAGAAATCAAGGATAGTACTAGGTCGGGAGTGACACGAACAGATTTCATTTAAAAAGGTCATGCTGGCTATAGAGTGGAATATGCATTGTAGGGAGCAAGCATGTGATGTAGAGACCACATCGTTTTTCCATTTTTCCAAGTTAGAGAAGAAGGTGGCTTTGACTAAGCTGGTAGAAGTGACAATGAGAAGTAGATGAATTTGAGAGAGATTTAGTAAAAAATGTTACTGGAATTTGGTGATGTGGTGTTCTATGAGATACGAGTTGGGCAGATGATTTCTGGTTTATGCACTTGGATAGATGTGCTATACACTGGCAGGGAGCATCAGAGGGTAGAAGGTGACCAGGTTTGGTAGGAAGACTCTGGGTTCAGTTCAGTTTTGTCAGGCTGAGTGTTAAAAATTTGATATAACTACGTAGAGCTAGCTGTCAAGTAGGGCTGTTGGATGTAAAGATCTGGAATCCAGTCTGGGCTGGAAAAGCATGGTGAATAGATGGTAACCAAAGGATGTTAATTCAAGGAACTAATGTTTAGGAAACTTCAGAAGCCATTAACTATATTGTACCTACCATACATTAAGCCCTAAACATCTTAATCCTCCTAAAACTGTAGTACATATAGCTCCACTTAGCCAACCTACCACTTGTGCTGTGGTATAACCATGGCTTAAATTGAGATCTACCTCTCTGCACTCATTTCCCATTCTTACTTGCCACCTATTACTTTCCTTATGCCCCACCATTCAGTCAGTCTAAATTTCCTCTGAAACTCATTTCCTAGCATTACCCTCCAATATGTTTTCAATGACAAGCTTGTGTGCATCTTTCAAAGCCCAGGTCAGCTTGATTACTTCCACTGTAAAGTCTTCCTCAGTTTTCCTAAAGGCAATCAATGGTTTCCTAATTTATGCTTTCAAAGAACAAGGTTCATACTTAATATGTTAGCTACATTGTAAACTCCACCAAGGTAAGGATTGTCTGTTTTATTCATCTCTGTATCTCTAGTACCTTAAAATGGTCCCCGACTACCTCTAACTTAGTACACATATCCCAAATTGTGGCATTTTGCTTAATGTTCTCACTGTCTTTTTAGGAAGACCAAGTTCTCTTGAGAGCAGGAGCTATGTCTTACTCTTTCTAGTAATCAGCATCTAGGATGGGGTCTGGCAGCCAGGTCTCAGTAGGCCCTCTGTAAATTTATATGAGTAGATACATTTCAGGGTGGAAAGACCAAGCTTTCTATCTATCTGTCTCCATAGCCAAGCACCTTTTTATAGCTCTGATGTGCTCATGTGACCTCCTGCCCTAGGCCTCCCTAGATTTTGGAAAGGGAATGTCTTAGTACTCAATACTCTAGAACTTAAACTTCCTAATTTACCCTCTCTTCAACTGAGTGTGTTCCTGGCTTCCTGTCCCACTCTGTCAGCTGGGCACTCTTTGTCAAGGAGGCTGAATGTAACTCTGTCTTGAGGTTGGCTGGGAACTAGACCACTAGAAAGAGAGACATGCAAGTGGATGGATTTCTCTGAAGCCATTTTTCAAATGCAAAGAAGGGGCTGGTTCCAATAGATTTTGTTATCTAATAATGGAGGTAGGAGTTTGGAAGCTTCCAGTAGCAGAGTGCAAACTCAATCTTGGGTCACTTAGTTCTGCATGTATGTTTAACATGGCTGACACCTTTGATAAGAAGCTCAGGCCTGGAGTGTGGAAGTTACTTGCCCAAGGTTTTTGTTTGTTTGTTTTCTGTGTAAAAATGTTTATTTGTACTAATATTTAGAATACAGGAACTAAAGAAAGAAAGATACCTCAACTCCAAAGTGACAGTGAATTAGGGCCTGCCCACACCCAAGGAGAAGGCCACTCCAGGGGGTCCTGGCATGGACTATCTCCCCCCACTACTTCATGTCAGTGTCACCAGGCAAAAAACTGAGGAATCCGGGTGTGAAGATCTTAGCAGCTGCTAGCGAGCGTGCAAGGAAGAAAGGGATGTCTATGTGGCTTCCCTATGACCCAGGAGCCAGTCCTTAGGATAAACTTACGTATAGCTAACATGTTTATATATTATTTAAAAATTTTTGTAACATCTGGTTCTAAAGGTGTTTAAAGATATACATTAAACAGCATAAGTGGGACAAAAGAGATTTAAAAGGGATAGAGATGTAAAATGGATCTAGGAATGCAAATTATAAAGCAGCATTTATCAAATAGGCTCCATCTGCTAATAAGGCCAGATGTTAGTAGATATTTCATCAAAAAGGTATACATGATGAAAATATTTGAACATGGTTGAGATAAATTTAAGCAGGTTATCTTTACCACAGAATCTCTCAAATTTTGATATGCCATGTGCATTGTGAAGAATGATAACATTTCCCAGAACCCCCTTTTCAACAACATTTGAGGAACTAGTGCTTTGCCAAATACATTGACAAATACTGCCATGGAATTCTAAATATTTTTTGAAGATGTGCCAAGAAAATTTGGCCAAGTTTTCTAGCAGCCGTCTGCAAAGAAGATAAAGTCATTTAAAGAGTTCACACCATGCCTAAGATAAACCATACTAATAACCTTGAGAAGCCTAGGCAGGAATTTCTTGATGGAAGGGAAAAAATGTGATGAGTTTTTCATCTTCTTTATATATATATTACTAAGTTTCATTGTATTCATCCTTTAGTATAAAGAAAATCTTAACACCATAGTATAGCAATCATTCTATAATGAGCTAATGAAATACACTACTGGTATGTACATATTTTTTGCTGATCTGGGTTAATGTAGAAGTAGATTTTATAATGTTTGGAGGAACACAGCCAAAATTTTGGCCAGTTTCTAATGCCTTAGTAGACAGTTGAAGAGGGAGAAGGAATGATGTTTTATAACACAAATGAAGTAGTTTGAAAAAACAAGCCCAGATACCTGAATATACTGTTAACTTACTATGGGACCAATGATAGCTCACCAGCCATGTGGAGGCAGAGCTGAGAGAAGGAATCAGGTGCCTCTCCCTCTGTATGTTTGGGAGATGATTTTAACTGTTTTTCTTTATTTTTGTAGGGCCTAAAATCTAGAGATAGTCAAAGAAAGATTTCCTGAAAACCATCAAGTCAGTAACTCCAAGATAATTAAACTCTGAATGAAATTTTTTGCTCAGGTGATATATAAAGTGCCATGACACTGAGGGTGTACAATAAGTGCCCTTGAATAAATGCAATACATTGAAGTAGCTAGATGATTTGATGAATAAAAGGGTTCCTTCTCTCATCCACAAAGGCTATTAGATTATTCCTGTTTCAGAAAGACCCCTGGACACAGGGCACCTGGGTGGCTCAGTTCGTTAAGTGCCTTAACTCTTGATTTCGGCTCAGGTCATGATCTCAAGGTTGTGAGATTGAGCCCAGTGTCTAGCTCCAGGCTCAGTAGGGAGTCTCCTTGAGATTTTCATCCTCTGTCCTTGCCCCGCACATACACACATGCTCTCTCTCTCAAATAATAAATATTTTTTAAAGATTTAATTATTCATGAGAGACACAGAAAGAAAGGCAAAGACACAGGCAGAGGGAGAAGCAGACTTCCTGCGGGGAGCCCGATGCAGGAACCCGATCCCAGAATCCTGGGCTCACGACCTGAGCCAAAGGCAGATGCTCAACCGCTGAGCCACCCAGGTGTCCCATAATAAATCAATCTTATTTTTTTTAAATAAATAAATCTTAAGGAAAAGAAGAACTATCCCTTGCAGTTGACAGAAGGCATTTTATATGTTACCATGATATCAGTTCATTTGGTCAGCCTTCCTACCTTCAGAATGGAAGGTACAATATAAATCAGTAAAATAAACCAGAATCTGCTTTATCTTTAAGGAACTTATGGTCAGAGTTCCACCATACTTTTGTCTCTTTTTCTGATGCTACAAAACCCTCACCTGTAGGAATTGTCTTTAGTTCTAAGCAAGTGGTTTTCAACTTGTGTTAGTTTTGCCTCCCAGGGGACATTTGGCAATGTCTGGGGGTGTTATTGGTTGTCACAACTTGAGGCAAGCTAGTATCTACTGAGTAGACATCCTACAATGCAGAGGACAGCCTCCCACAGAAGTTATCTGGCTCAAAATGTCAATAACGTTGATGTTGAGAAACTCTTGTCTAATCTAAATCTTTTCTTTTTTTTTAATTTTTATTTATTTATGATAGTCACACACAGAGAGAGAGAGAGAGGCAGAGACACAGGCAGAGGGAGAAGCAGGCTCCACGCACCGGGAGCCCGACGTGGGATTCGATCCCGGGTCTCCAGGATCGCGCCCTGGGCCAAAGGCAGGCGCCAAACCGCTGCGCCACCCAGGGATCCCTAACCTAAATCTTTTCTATCATAATTGAAGGCCCTTTCTTCAAAACATTGTTAATTCCGTTCA